GTGATAATATTCATAGTTTTTGTTTACATTCGGAGTGATCTATCTGTTTTCATATAGTCTGTGCTTCTACCTTCTACGTTTTGTTATATTTATCTTGCTATTTTATTTTTATTTTTTTTCTACTATTTTCTAATACTTCCTCAATTGTTCTTATTATTCTTTTTGTAACAGATTGAATGAAACATTTAATAAACGAAAAAAAAATATATACTAAAATAAAAATAGTATTTTATAAAATAATTGATTTAGGCCTTTATTTGGACTAGATAGTTAGATTAGATATGGAAGACACCACCTCCCACACTCAAAAAAAAATACGCCACTGCAGTCAGTTTTATTATTTTAGTTTTTTAGTTCAGTTAGGTAGCTTATATCTTTAATTGTCAATTTTAAGCGATTACCAGACCTATAAGGCTATAAATAAAAGTTATGGAAGTATGTACTTATAAAACACAAATTTTTGGTTTCCTATCAGAAAAGGAAGCACGTAAAGTTTATTACTATACCATGTATTATTTGTATCATATTTGAAATGTTGCCAAATAATATATACTTAATATTATATAACTATGACTAGGTATAACTGTAGATATATTGGGGTATTTAAGGTTTTAAAAATAGGGGAAAGAAAAATGTTGTAGCCTCACCTCTCACTTTTCACAAAAGAACAATAACATACAACATTTTAACTTGTTTTCTTGTGCATAACGTTTATCATGTTTGATATATATATATTTACCCACGAAACCAGTTACAACGAAACATTTTAGAAATTATAACTGTTTTATGAATAGATATTATTTTGAAAAAAAATTAAATAAACATCATATTTCGTAATTAAACATTATAATATGAACATTCTTATTCTTAATAAAATATGAATATTTAATACTATTGATATATATAACTAGTAGGTATAGTTTCGATTTATGGATTGATAGGAGTATGCAAGAAACCAGACATGTTATGTTGTTATTACTTATCTTTTATAGTTTTATAATGGGTACTTTCGTATTCATTTGTATTTTTTTCGACGGTCTTCCCGAGGTGATCGATATAAAATATTATCTTCACTACCCAATGTTTAAATAATGGTGGATCCAGAAGACGAACTGTACAGAGTATAGTCTTACTACTCTTACTCTCCATATAATTACTTTTAATTAAAATGTTTTAAGTTATAATGGTTAACAACTCGACTATTACGATGTTTTTTTTTAACCTGTCAATATTTCCATGAGATGCATTTATATTTATAGTTGGTTACACAGTATTTTTTGTTTATAAAATTATTACATTATAGTCTTAAAGGTTTATATTATATCGGTACATATGAATTAACAAATTAACTTAATTGCTTTTAATATTGGTTACTAATTAAAATATAACTGGTTATTTCGACTTAAGCTGCTTCGTATAAAACCCCAAAATTATCGCTCAACTTACTAATTAGCAGCTATAACCAATTCCCACTATCTACATGGTATACAATTAATCTAATTAAAGAAAACCTAGAAGAAACGATAGTGAAAATGTCTGTTTCAACTTTTGGAGCCGCAAGCGACTATAATGCCACGACCGTTTAATTAATAATTATTGTTTTGGAGGGAAACGCCGCCATCATATTATGATCTTGACCTCGGTGTTGGGGGCCGCCATGCAGCATACTGGTTTCACTGACACGAAAAAGAAAAAAAAATCAAATCACCTCCCCATAGAAAATAATAACGAAAAAAACAACTGAATGCCAAATCACGTGTTGTATTGTATCCTAAATTCATAACAAAAGGTAATAAAATAATAATGTATTATGGCCATATAATATGATATAAATAACCACTTCTGACAGGTTAGGAGACAGTGGTGTGTTCAAAATTTTATAGATACTGGGAATGAAAATGTTCCTATCTGTTCTCGTTCTTCTCACAAACGAACAACCACAACATGGTCAATAATCAACATTTTAACATGTCAACTTTCAACTCTTGCAGATTTTCTATAATATGTTTGTGACTTCAGACTTGTTATTGCAATKCATGTATATTTATAATTTATACATCAATATTGCTGGAAAGTCATAGACAAGACTTGATTGTTGCGACCATCTGAATATTTAAAAAAGTTAATAATCTATTCACAAACAAATTGGCCAACTCGATAAACTTTCAAAAAACTGCTAAATACATCCGTATATACGTAATCTATATTGTATGTAGGTAGGAAAACTGTAAAATAGTAAATACTAAAATATTGTTATCTGTTATCGGATATCGGATTAGTATAATAATAATAACAATAATAATAATATTGTAGTCAAATAGTATTATCGGCTGGCGCAGACGATCGAGGTGACCTACAACGGCTGCGGCATAGATAAACGCGTATAATAATAATATAGGTATAGACTATAGATAAGTCGTCGAGTGATGGCGGGTAAGGTGCGTGCGCAATCCGTGAGCGCTTCTCGCGAGCAGATTGCCACGGCCAGCGCAACTAAACGTGGACCGTGGKGGGGGCGGCGGCGGCGGCGCGCACGGTCATATAGAAAACGCGGGCCGAACCGGTTGAGCGACGTTGCCGGGCCGTGCGATGTTTCTGACCGGAACGCGTTCGCCGGCGCGACCGTTCGACCGGACGGGTGTGCGGGGGGAGGGACTCGATGCTTTCGTGGAGGTGGTGGAGGAGGAGGAGGTCTTGTGTCCTCCTTCCACCGAAATAAGGTACGGCTCTCCACGGCGTCGTCCTCTCACCCCCGTTCTACCTGAGGCGGTGCGTTTGCGTGCGTGCACTGCATCGTTCAAACCTCGGAGGAGTCGCCGCGCGCGCGCGTTCAGTAATTCAGTTTGGTAACGTGGCATCCCCGAACAGGTATACCTGTGCGGTCCGTCTCGTTATTTATAATTTTATCGTTCTGTTCCACGGAGGAAGGGAATGAATAAAAAAAAAATCGAAAAATAAAAGAGAAAAAATTAAGTCGTGTGCGCCCCTACCCCGGCAGGTTTTGTTTTCGCGAGTTTGTGTGCGCGTGTGTTTGTGTATGCTCGATCGTGCGCGCCTGCGTGTGTGTGTGTGTATGTTGTGATATATTTATATATATATATATATATATATATATATTATATTATTTATTGTTATTGTTCGCGTGTGTTCGAGGTTTGCCGTACATAGTCGTGCCAGTGCGAAATTTTTGAAAAATACCCGTCGTGTTGGTGCCTTTATCTCGTCGCCGCGTTCGAGATTTCGAGAATCTCGCGCGTTCGCGGTTTCGGTTTCGGTTTTTATATAATATTTTTGTATACCGATTGGCGGCCGCGAGCTTGCACTCCTCCGGTGCAGTTGTGTTTTTGGCCTTTGGTTATTTGTTTATTTCTACATTATTTTTTGTTTTTGTTATTGTTTGTTTATCGATYGCACGCCGGGCGGCCCGAGTGATCCGAGCACATTAAATATTAATAATAATAATAAGTATCACGCGAGCCGCGCTGGTGTCAATAACCGACAAGTGGGACATCGCGCGTCAGCAAAGAAGTTTCTCCTTTTTACGGAGAGAGACATTCTACGCTGCAGCGTGTACCGGTCTGCAAAACGGTCAGTGTATACGAATTTTATGTTTGCAATCTTCTGAACTGGCAAAATGGTACCGTGGTGGTTAGGCCTTAGCCTTATCGTCAACCAACCCATCTCGGAAGTCAGCTGCGGTGTCTTTATCACTTGGACGACCACGGCCCTCGTCGACTATTTCATATGTAGGTTCTATATCACCTAACCTATTATGTAGTAATGTAGTATACTTATTAAAGTATAATGATGTATATTATAGAGTTTAATGCTAAACAACTTTGAACGGTGGTTTTTCTATTTATCTTGTTAGTAGTTGAGTGTCTATTAGTTTTTCACATATTTTGTTATCACTTATCATAATCAAATCACAAAGGTATCAGTTTGTTAAACGTCCAATACATACATACATATATATATATATAAGTGGCTTAATTGGTAGGTACCCATGATTTGAGAGTACTGATATTTCATATCAATGTTACACACAATATTCTTCTTATTTTAAGAAGTTCAAGAAATAGGATATTTCTGTGAAATACCAATAGAAATTAGGTAGGTTAGGTTACGTTGATTGTGTACAAATAGGTAGTTGGTATAGGTACGTCACATTATTTTTGTTCACTCATGGAAACTAAATTAGCCAACATTAATATGTAGTTCTCACAAGACGTTACAACGATAATAATATATTAAATTATTAATATTTTAATATAACGACCCTCACATCGCTTCAGTTGAAATAAAATGTTGGATGACTTTTTCGACATTTTTCAAGGCAGAGTAAATGACGAACGGGAGTTAATATGTGGTTAGGTCCTTTTAAGAGGATGTTGCAGCACTATTTGTTTTCTCTCTCTGGTCCACATTCAAAATAGACAAAACGCATTTACGCAGAATCATTTTTTCTTGGTTTTTAATTAATCTTAGAGTAAAATCACCTATCACAAAAAAGATAGAGAATAATATTTTTGAGGGAATGATTTATCGATTTGTCTAAATATTGTCTCAAAATAATTTAAACATAATTTAAATTTACAAAATCAAATAACAATAAAATATAATATCGATATGTTATTCCCTCAAAAATATTATTCTTTATCTTTTTTTTAATGAGTGATTTTATTCAAAGATTACTTAAAAACATCAAAAAATGATTTTGCGTAAATGCGTTTTGTCTATKCTGAGCGTAGGCCAAAGAGAGAAAACAAATAGTGTTCTGACATCCTCTTAAGGCGTTTTGGCAGAAATTTATTGTATTAACTGTTCAAGTCTCCTTGTGTAGTATCGGGTGTAGTATATATATCTATTGGCTACTGCACCAAATTTCAAGTACAAAATTCTTTTAACTGACTTAAATATATTATACATACTTATATAATTTATATAAACCTTCAGTGGGAAAACGATGACTTATTTTCGGGGGAGGGGGAGAGATCACACCATTAAATTGTACATTATATCTGGATAAAATTAAATTTGAATTAAATAAAAACGGTGAGAGGCGACTGAATAATCTATATTATAATAATCACTTTTGATTCAAAAATTAGATTAGTATCAATTTTTAATAATATTGTTTGAAAACATCAAACGAAAGTTATATATGGCATTATGGCCGTCAAAATTTTCAAACCGACCGCATGCATATTATGTATAATATAGGTATTATAAAAAAAGTCACAGGCATATTATGTTATATGGATAGTTACACGATGTTGTGATTTACAAAACAATCCGAATATCCAATGAAGCCCAGAAAACGTAATAAWTGTTATTGTCATTGTAATATATTTTTAACTAAATTATTTCTTTATAATTATTTCTCAATATCAAAAATATTATTTAGCTACCTAAGAACTAAGGATTTTCGTTGATGGAAAAACAATAATAGTCACTGGGATAGTTACTTTATTAAATTAAACTCAAAATGAGATTGTATATATTATTATATAAATTATTGTACAATAATTTATTACTGAAGAAGGCATTGTATTAAATAAAATAAAATAATACATTTAACTCGGAGAAATTAAATTATGTCTTAGTTTTCATTCTCTTTTTATATTAATTCTTTTGTGAAATATTTTTCGATTAATAAACGATTTTTTAAAAGAGGTAGGAACTAGGAAGTAAGAATTTGTTGACATGGATTAAAGATATTCCACTGAAAATTAAGTATGTGAATATTCGCTATTTACAAGAAAATGTGATATATAGTATAATATTCGTTATATTGGTATGATTATTTGATATTTCTACATACATTTATGATGATCCATTCATAAAATATAATGGTTTATATAATTTTATTGTTGATATTTATCTTATAATAAAATCCAACTCATACTATTTACATTTGAACATTTTTAACTTTTAAAGCAATAGACGTATTTATCATATTTGATAGAAAAGTTAAAACAACTAAAACATGCCCCAGGATATCCATTTTTCAAGACGAAACATATTTTCAGTATTAAAGAGAATGGATAAAATATTGCATTTAGGTATATGGTTGGTTCAGCTTAATCTTATTGTTATAAACTATTTTTTTTCTAAATAAAACGGATTTATTTAATTATATTTACATAATCTTGAATTTGTTGAATATTTTCTAATACTTAACAACCCCTAAGGTCAACCGAACAAAATGCCTRTCTCAAGACCATAAGAATTTATGTTAATTTATTTTGAAAATTTAAATCTGATTTATGTCATTCATTACATTTTTTCTTAAGCAACACACCTGTCGTTATTCTTCCGACCCTTTTAAAATGTTAATTGCGTGTTTACTAGGGTAGAAAAAATACCATGGAATACAATATTAGAGTCTATCCATTGATGTTAATTCATATTTTTATTAAAACTGGTTATTATATAAACTAATAGGAATTTGTATTACGTATTCTATAACATTACAAGGCAAATTCAGAATATTTGAGGCATACCCGTACATTGGTATAATACTAGTATTAATATGTAAATATCGTGTTAGTTGTTTTGATTATAAATTAGATTCTAAGCGGAGAGCTTATTAACTATTATGTGTTGGTTTGAAAAAAAATTGTATGTATCTGTCATCATGTTTTGGAACAGTAAAGTGGTTCCAATTTTCAATTTCGAGGACGCTGTCTGATAGGAAATTGGATCTATATAGTAGGTACTTTTTGTAATTGGAGAATCAAAAGTTGAAAAATTCTCGGTAATTTTCAAAACAATCCTTTAAAACTAAGTATAAACGCTATAGTAGTTTTCGACAAACTCGATTTTTTTTTTTGTAATTAAAACATGATAGATATTTACTTGAAATTCTCACCAAATATTTATATAAACATTTTTATTAAACATAAAAAAATGTATACATAAAATTAATATTATTTTTCTAAGCAAACGAATTGTTGTGCTATTTTAAATTTTTTTTTCATCGATTTATTTTRATAAAATTGTTTTTCTAAGTTAAATAGCTTGAAAATATAGTATAAACACAGATTATATACATTATATAATTTTATATAATCTGTGGTATAAGGTTGCTTTTTAGTTATTCATAGGTATAGTAATTAATAAAATCGAAAATACTTGAATACATATAATCTCAATTTTTTTTGTATGCAACATTTTTTTAAACATACTTAAATTCAAAGTTTGACGATATTCGATATTTAACTTAACGATTTTTTGTTATTTCTTATTATGTTGAATTCAAAATATATTATCTATCGAAGGAGTAGAGAATAACAACTCTTGCAAGTACGAATAATTATTAATTCAGAATTATTTTTATTTTCAATTTTGTATTTATACCACGATCCCTCGCATGATTCTATTCTCACACCGATCTACGGTAGGTTTAAGTAGTATAAATATCCTTGGACGCTGATAGACGGTCTCTGGTTAGAATCTTTTTCAATGTACCTATGCAATGATTTATTATTTAATTCAAATTCAACATATCCATTATATAGTCTTCTCGCCTAAACTTACTATACAGTTGAACGACATCTATGTTTAAAAAAAAGTTATATCTTTTTTAAGTATTAATGTTGTCCTATTATTATAAAAACGTATAAAATAGTTTAGTCTTTTTATGATATTTATGTATTGAGAAACTTATTTGAATAGGTACTTTTGGGTACTTCGATTGAACGGTTAAATCGAAATTCTATTTCAGAATGGAGTTATTAAAAATCGTATTAAGTTAATAGTAATTTATAATATTCTCATTTTCACATATGATAGGTTTATTATTTAAGTATTTTTTTTTTTTATTAACTAAAATGTATCCTTGGTGACATAGGTCATTGGGTTGCAAGGTTTATTTAAGTATGCATTATCATAAAATGTATTATTATATAGTTCGATAATACTTCCTCAGCTTTAGAGGTATTTTTAAATTGGTTTCTAGTAACTGACATAATTCTATATCACTAAGCTAATATATATACTTTATAGGTATATCCATATTATAATTTATTTTAATTTCCGGTTTTATAAATATGTTGTGACTTTAAATATTGAATTATAAAAAAATATTTTATACCTATACCTAACTATAATTCCGATTTCCGGACATAATTCTGAGTATAATCTACTGGAGCAAAATAAAACATTTACAAATTAATATTTGATTTTGAACTTTAGGTTAAGAGAGCTTGAGGTATTTTGTCAAGTTCGGATGCACTGTTTATTATTTTTCGGTTTTATCGAAAAATAAAGAGGGTATGATATCGTCTCAGGTTTCAATATCTAATCAGCTTTTGAAAATAATGTTAGTAGTTCACTTCATAAGTATAGTCATTTATTTAATGGACGCCTTAAACTTTGCAAACATTGTTGGTGAATATAACTAGCTTATGTGAATTATGTAGGTATAGGCTTGTGTAGTATACTGTATACGTATACTGACTATACTGTAATAGGCACACTGTTTTGTTTCTGGCGAATGTTTTTAATTTAAAGTTAAATTTCTTATTTAATTGTTTTAAGAGAATTTTAGTTTGTTTTAAAATGTGTGTGACAAAATATGTTTGTTTTATATATGTATATATTTGGAGATTGTGTTGATTGATACTCAAACTTTATGGTAATTAAAATAATTTGATAGTAGAGAGAAGTGTATTCAAGATTGAATAAAAGATTAGATGTGTGAAATGGTTAATATTGTTTTTACTTACCCGTATATGGATAT